CTTAAATAACGTTTAATTATCAGTTCTGTTAATACCAAGCAAAAAGTTCAAATGAATTCTATAATTCATTCCAAATTTTAGTTACAATTACGATGCAGAATTTAGTGTTAGGTAATTCAGATGAATTTAATAAAATCAATACGTAATTAGTATTCTATTTTCTGATTGACCCAAGAGAATCAAGGCTCGATCAAGTAATGCTCAGAGAAAAATCCCGAATACCACTTTCATCTGTCCCTTACAATTTCACAACCTCTGCAATTGTATACCCCTGACTTTCTGACTTTTTGAATGCTCCACTCCAGTATAATCTTTACCTTGAATATAATACTGATACGTATACCAATTCCAATTATCAGCAACAAATTCGGATGAAAACGGTAAAATTCCCATTAATACATCGTACGATCTTTCATTTTGTGATCTTTTTCGTAATGCGGTTGTTATCTTGAACAGCGCAATAATTCTTGCATTAAATTCATGAACAAAGATTGTCATCATTCCAGTTCGGTAGACATTAATAAATATATCTATAACCCAAATCGTCAACCTTCTGATAATTGCATTATCGAATAATTCTAATATCGTATACACCACGAATACCAGGATCAATGGGATTGCACGAATTGATCTAAGGAAATAAATCATATAACAATTAGTGATATTTCGGTCTCTTAGATAGTGAACTTAATGACATAATTGTTAAGATTGTTAATAGTGCTTGTAGCAGATTTCGTAATTTTTTTTGATGCATGTCAAAGTATTCGAACAACAACTTAGGAGTCCGTATAATTTCACCAACAATCACTTCACCGACAGCTCATTTAGCCGACATCACGTCAGGTGAAATTTAGTAAAAAAATATATACCTGCAACTAATCAAATGCTTAACCCTAACCCTATATCGGCAAAATGAACGTTCGGTGAAATGATTGTCGGCAAATTGATCGGAACCGCAACTTAGTCTCTTCATCATCCGCTTGGACTTCATAGTAGTATTTCTACATCTAATAAATCAGAACAATATTTACAATAAATAGGTGAGGATTGATCAAAGGTTGAAATAAATAAAATCAGAAGTATCATCATGAGATGCATGGCCAAATCTTTTTTTCTTACGGTATCGTGATGTGTAACATCAATGTTACTTTTACAAGATCTTGTTTGATGAACATCTCTGTTGGCATTGCTATCTGCGAACGCGTTTATAAGTTAACCAAAATGATGGAAAGTCTTGATGAGTTGTGAAGATCCACTTAGATCTCATGTCTTTCAAATGTCATTATTGTTCTAGGTGGGCAGTATGAATTAATATCCAATAGCCACGTAAAATAGTATTTAATGTAACGAGACTTCTGTAAAGTATTCTTTAAAAGAACGGGCGATTTTGTGAGGCTCATCCACAAGATATAACAGAGGCTATTATCCAAGATTCGCGATTCATCACTAAATTGTAATACAGATGGTAATTAAATTCAATAATAACGGTTCTTATTACATTTTACAGATAAAGACATGTTGAATAAACATAAAAAGAAAATGTATTTTGGATGAAGGCAAACCGGAAAAATCGATCACATTGGCAACTGCTACTTATGAGATCATTCTGCAATATGTTCGTCCCAATAAAGCCATAAAGTTTCAGTCGTTTGAAATTTTTAGAAATCGAGAGTTGTTATTTTTATTGTTCAAGTCTCTCTTGCTTTTTTGCGGTGATGATAAAGATCTAAATGGATTTCACAAAAAATATAATTTGATTTTTAACTGAAACGCATTAGTATATGTCGTCAATAAAAAAAAAACTTTTTTGAAAAAAGACTAATTATTAAAAATTATTAAAATCGGAAAATATACCAATACCGATATGATCTAAAAATTAACATCAAACTCGACATTAAAATTAAAAAATCATGCATTGTTCATGCTAGAACGTGCATAAAGTTGCTTTTTTTTATTAAAAGCATTAATGTTTTTTTTTTTTATTAACACCACACCCACCCGCTATATTTCTGAAACTAAAAAAGGAAAAGTTAGTAGAAATTCTACTAACTTTCCCAAAATAAAAAAAAGGCGACACTGCTCTGCCGAACAATAATTACGATCTTATTGTTCGCCCAAAACTCTGGGTAGAGTACATTATTTAACCAAGCAATAGGCCTGCCGAGACATCGTTTAGTTTAGTAGAGGCCTAACAGTGCATACCGTAAAGGTACTACTGGTCTGCTTACAACCACTAAACGACCAGGACAAGATTATTGCCCGCCCAGAGTTTTGGGTAGAGCACATTATTTACCCGAACAATAAACGTCACTAGACACTCATCTAGTTATTGTCGAGGCATAACAGTGCCCACCCGAAAAATGATACCGATCACATATGGAAGGTAAGGATTTATATAGCAAATTGAAAAATGTGGGATTGCGCATAGAAAAAAAAACCCCTTGACGCGAAAATCTAATTGGGTCATGTGTAAAATCCATCACATGAGGCACAATTACCAAATTACGACGACACGTTTCACAAGTCACACTCGTAGACGTAAATCAATTGCTCGGGTAACATTAAATAATAAATCGTTTTAACGATATATCAATGTTATCTGTGCAAAAAAATACAAAACTCCTAACGAATTTTGCCTAATAGACAAAATATTGACTACCACTCATTAGACTATACGAAATTACTACATACTAGGAACCGTAAACCGGGAGCCTATAATTTTAGTATGAGCGTTCGATTAACCCCTGAAAAATATGGTCACAGATCAAAATTTTCAGGGGCGTTACAGACGGAAAATGCGTTTTTGATATTTTTATTATAGATGCATTAAAATCGTAATTTCAGTCATCAAAGGCGCATAGAAGTATGAGTCCTCCGATTCGCTCCGGACAATAAATAGTATCGACAATCAACTGGAACCGAAATGTGTTTTCTAAAGACTCTATCAAGCTATGTATCTAAATAAACTTTATACTAATTGTTTAACTTGGTATAAGCCAGACCGGCCATTTTGGCCATATTCAACTTTATATGATAAGGTGATCATGATATAATAATATGCTTGAGTTACTTGATTCTGCTTTTGGGTTTGTTGATCATAGAAAATAAACTTAGGCTTAATAGATAGTAATACACATAGTACTTTAGCTTTATATACAAATATTTCTTCTAAATATATAATGTAAAATATTATTTTTAGCATACATTTACCGATACATGTAGGTTTTGTATTCTTTTTTTTATGTAAGATGCAATTGGGGTTATATAAAGTATAGACTCTTATCCTGTTTCTTAATTTTAACACGTGATATAGCTATCGCTATACGTATATTAATTAACTTGATTATCAAATCATCTTAGCAAATTTTGTTAATATACATCTGAGTGTTTTGTATACTTGAACTTTGTATTTATACAAGTAATCCTCAATATAAGAAACCTTCGATTTAAAAAACTTTTGATATAAGATTTTATAAATCCCAATTGAAAATTTTATTGATATAAGAAAATCTCGATATAAAAAGATTTGGCTAGACCTGACAACTTTCTTATAAAATCATTCTATCATTACATGCAAATAAGGTTTTTGTAATAACTACACTTTATATTTTCAAAATTCAACAAAACAAAATTATAAAAACAATACTTAATTACTGATTTTACTTTTATTTAGAAACAAAATGAATCATCACTTATATATGAAGATTTAACTTTTCCTTTTTTTTGTATCCATATCCATATGAACTAAGTTTCAAGCTGCATTTTTCAAAGCATGAACTGTCTTTTTTGAAATAGATATAAGCGTAATATGTATTTTTAGTATCTCAATCGCTACCGATTTTGAAATCTATTTTATCAACACCATATTCTTTCTAAACAAATCAAATTAAAATAGAGTTAACAACAGAAATAAAATGAATGTGTGCAAACAAATATATATGTATATTATCTCTCCACTCCAAACAACTTTGCCAGAACTTTTTGATCTGATCTTAATGACAACTTTGACTATTACGTCAAATTATAATCAATTATTATAACTCAAAAAAAGTTAAAAAAATTTTGAACTGTCATTCTATTTATTACATTACCGTCAGACTTAATATTGTTACTCCACCAATCAACAGCTTTGCACTATCAACTACCCATGGACCAGGATCTCGTGAAGTAATGTGAATTTCGTTTTTCATCCCTTTTTTCTGCAGGAAAGGCAAGGACACTTGAAATAACTGCAAGTGAAATGAACAAAATTTTTAAAAAATGATTTCATTGTTTATTTTTTTTTTATTTTTTATTTAATATATATATATATATTTTTTTTTTTTTAGGAGAAAGAAATTAATAGAGTTTATATAATTTTCGCATTTTTGCAAGTGGCAGATAAACATTTTCTGATTATTTGTTTTTTTCAAATCTCGATCTTGAAATCAACAAGGCCTTGTAAGCTTGAATGAGACTTTTCGAATATAAATTAAATACCATTTTATTCATATTTTCGCTCATATTGTATAGTTAATTCAACTTATATGGCGTGATTAATTTCTTAGAATCATGTTATTTTGGTATCAAGAATACTATTTTTTGGTGTAATTTTTGTTACATATAAACTAATGAGGCTTGGTTAAAATCGATGAACTGATTTTGCGGGCTTTGGTCGATCATTGTTTAAATGTCTTGGAATAGAGCCCTAATAGATAGTATATAAATAGAGTTATAGAACACTAGTAAGGGGTTTTAGAGAGATTGTGAGATTTTTAGGGAAATTCGTTATTGTACTGGGTACAGTTTGGAGGATACTTATTTGTATCGGTTGCACTTTTTGAGTATTTTCTTGTCTGTGCACATTGAAATAAACTGTTTGTCTACTACTTAATGCTTACTGCGCTGTGCTAAATTTGGCTGGGAGTATAAAACGTTTTCCCAAAAAATGGCTATAACAGCGATATGTAGTAATTTGATCATCACAATTATGTACACTTGGATCACATTCAGCATTTTAGGATGCGACCAACTCGTGACAGGCAATAATTTTATAGAAAAGAAATGTTTTTTATTTGGTTAAACAACGTTCCTACGTACTGTATTACAAATTCTAAATTTCTAATTTTTATATCTTCATAAAAGTTTCCTGTTCAGATTTGTAATACGTATACTGTACGTTGAAATAAAATCACTCATGTTAGTGTAGCGTTCACGATTATGTTTTATTTCATCATCTTTTGAATACAAATGGAATCTGATAGAGAAGGGCAATCTTTGGAAATATTTTCAAATGTAGACATTGCCAAAAACGAGGAATCATTAGAACAATATTTAAAGTCTAATAAAGACGTGCGTCCTGAAATACAAAACAACATAGGATGGTGCTATCAATATGGAATAGGTATTAACAAATACGAAAAGAAAGCATATGAATAGTATTTAAATGCTGCCAAAGAAGGCGATTTTCGTGGGTGTAATAATCTTGGTTGGTGTTTTGAAAATGGCATAGGAATTGACAAAAATGAAAATAAGACATATGAATGGTATTCAAGATCAGCCAAAGGCGGTAATTCTAGTGGACAAAATAATCTTGGGCGTTGCTACGAAAATGGAATAGGCATTAATAAAGATGAGAATAAAGCATTTATATGGTTTTTAAAATCAGCCAAAAGTGGCAATCCTAGTGGGCAATTTAATCTTGGTTTGTGCTTTAGGAATGGCAAAGGTACACGTCAAAATATGAAGGAGGCTACAAAATTTTTACAAAGAGCAAGAAGTAATCAGAGTCAACATGTAGATTATGAAAATCTAGATATTGATCTTGTTAAATTTTTAGAAAATTCAATGTCTGAAAACAAATATCAATTATTTTGGATTTCACCCAGTGAACTAAGAAACCAACAAAAAATTTTTGGAACGGCCAGACTTTCTGCCAAGTATTCTGCAGAATGGACTTATTTACATAAAACTGGAGCAAGAACAAAAAAGGTTATTTTAAAGCTAATTTATGGATCAAGATATAATCACGATCAACTTATGAAAGAGGTAAATATTTAATAATCTCAGTACTTTATGCACGTAATTTAGATCAATATTAATTTTATTTTTAAAGCTAAAAGCATTCTACATGATTGGGTGCAAGTATCCTGCATATCTTCAGTGCTATGGAATATCGAAAGATGAAAAATCTGGTGATTATTGTTTAGTCATTCAATACTTGCCATTGGGTTCTTTAAGATATAATCATTCAATTGCACGAATGAAATGGGTAGAAAAAGTAAATTTATTATTCTATATAGCTCATGATCTTCAAATGATTCATTCTCTTGATATCATCCATTGTAATTTATATGATAAAACTATATTACAATATGACATACATAATGCATATATAAGCAGCTTTTCATTATCATTGTCAGTTCAAGAGGCATCAACAACAAAACCAAAATCAATTGGAAATACTGTGTATGCAGCATCGGAAGTTCTAAATGGAGAATCATTCACCAAAGCATCAGATATTTACTCCTTTGGATTGCTTATGTGGCAAATTTCTTCAGGACAGTCTGTTATTTCTGAATATGAAGATTTTGATTATTTGCTTGCACTAAGTATAAAGCGACCAACTATCCGTGAAGGCACAATACAATGCTATTCAGACCTTATGAAAAAATGTTGGGATAGTGACCCAACAAACAGACCATTTGTCTCAACCATTTGTAAGATTTTGACTAAATGGAAAAATAATATTGCAACATTTTATGAATCTGATCCAATCGACTATGATGAAACCAATGAAATTGGTTTAATCTGTGACCCAAATGAACCTTTTTGTGATTCTACTGAAGAAATAAACGAAGAACATTTTGGTAATTTAATTGGCTTTAAAGTAGTATTAGTAAATATATACTAATCAATTTTACATATTTAGAAAATGAAATTAGGAAAAAATCAAAGTTTATAGATTGGGGTGAGCTAATTGATGTTTCAAAAATCGATGGAGGTTATTTTGGTATGTGAATAAGCTACTTATGTTATAAATAATAAAATAATTATTTTACCTTTTTTTTTTTTTATTTGTTTAGGATTCATATTTAATGCTTATTGGATAAAGACGCAAAATTTTGTCATTTGTAAGGCATTGACCAACTTGAAAGACATAAACAACAAATACTATACTGCATTTGTTCATGAATTAACAATGCAAACTAAAGCAGATCTTTGTGAAAATGTCGTTCGATTTTTGGGAGTCAGTAAAGGTATTTCTGTTTTGTCAATTTATTTAAATATATTTAAAATGATTAGTTATACAATATTATAAATAGATGATATCAATTCTCGATATTTTCTTATAATGGAATATGCAAATGATGGGAATTTACGGAAGTACCTTGAAACAAATAATCATTCATTGACTTGGAGCAGAAGACTAGAGCTTGCCTTTCAAATTACGAAAAGATTAAATTTTATGCATAGCGAAAATATTATTCACAGAGACTTGGTAAGATAGTCTTAATCTATACTATAATGCACCGGAAAAGTCAGGATCGAATCTTTTAGGCTGCAGCGTTTCTCAAATTCTGGGACGAACTAAAATATTTGCCGAAAATATTTCAGTTTTAAGAATTACCCTAACTCTTCGGAAACCATTTTCAGAACTCTGGTCAGGAGACTGCTGATGGTTAAACTATTCATAAGAAAAAACCAAAAGAGATTTCAGGAAAAAAAAATTTTTAATTTGTCACAGAATTTATGAGAACTATAAAGCTTTAAACTGACTCGTACCAGATTTAAAAACTGAAATTTCAACCTTCGACTTCTTTTCGCTCTGCTCAAAATAAAAAAAATGTAAGTTTAAAAGACAAAACATGGGTTGTATTTCAGCATCACCATTAATTGCCACATTTTTCTTGTTCATGTCCTCAAATCCAACTTTCCAGGTCGAGTTCTGGTTGACCAGTTTGATCGGAGCACTACCTCTAATATTTTAAATAAGTTTTTAATTTCAAAAAAATTTTGATTAGCATGATAAAAACATTGTTATCCATGATGGCAAAGCAAAAATAACTGATTTTGGAAACGCTATAAGTCTAAATACACAAACAAATATGCTTGAGTTACTTGATTCTGCTTTTGGGTTTGTTGATCATAGAAAATAAACTTAGGCTTAATAGATAGTAATACACATAGTACTTTAGCTTTATATACAAATATTTCTTCTAAATATATAATGTAAAATATTATTTTTAGCATACATTTACCGATACATGTAGGTTTTGTATTCTTTTTTTTATGTAAGATGCAATTGGGGTTATATAAAGTATAGACTCTTATCCTGTTTCTTAATTTTAACACGTGATATAGCTATCGCTATACGTATATTAATTAACTTGATTATCAAATCATCTTAGCAAATTTTGTTAATATACATCTGAGTGTTTTGTATACTTGAACTTTGTATTTATACAAGTAATCCTCAATATAAGAAACCTTCGATTTAAAAAACTTTTGATATAAGATTTTATAAATCCCAATTGAAAATTTTATTGATATAAGAAAATCTCGATATAAAAAGATTTGGCTAGACCTGACAACTTTCTTATAAAATCATTCTATCATTACATGCAAATAAGGTTTTTGTAATAACTACACTTTATATTTTCAAAATTCAACAAAACAAAATTATAAAAACAATACTTAATTACTGATTTTACTTTTATTTAGAAACAAAATGAATCATCACTTATATATGAAGATTTAACTTTTCCTTTTTTTTGTATCCATATCCATATGAACTAAGTTTCAAGCTGCATTTTTCAAAGCATGAACTGTCTTTTTTGAAATAGATATAAGCGTAATATGTATTTTTAGTATCTCAATCGCTACCGATTTTGAAATCTATTTTATCAACACCATATTCTTTCTAAACAAATCAAATTAAAATAGAGTTAACAACAGAAATAAAATGAATGTGTGCAAACAAATATATATGTATATTATCTCTCCACTCCAAACAACTTTGCCAGAACTTTTTGATCTGATCTTAATGACAACTTTGACTATTACGTCAAATTATAATCAATTATTATAACTCAAAAAAAGTTAAAAAAATTTTGAACTGTCATTCTATTTATTACATTACCGTCAGACTTAATATTGTTACTCCACCAATCAACAGCTTTGCACTATCAACTACCCATGGACCAGGATCTCGTGAAGTAATGTGAATTTCGTTTTTCATCCCTTTTTTCTGCAGGAAAGGCAAGGACACTTGAAATAACTGCAAGTGAAATGAACAAAATTTTTAAAAAATGATTTCATTGTTTATTTTTTTTTTATTTTTTATTTAATATATATATATATATTTTTTTTTTTTTAGGAGAAAGAAATTAATAGAGTTTATATAATTTTCGCATTTTTGCAAGTGGCAGATAAACATTTTCTGATTATTTGTTTTTTTCAAATCTCGATCTTGAAATCAACAAGGCCTTGTAAGCTTGAATGAGACTTTTCGAATATAAATTAAATACCATTTTATTCATATTTTCGCTCATATTGTATAGTTAATTCAACTTATATGGCGTGATTAATTTCTTAGAATCATGTTATTTTGGTATCAAGAATACTATTTTTTGGTGTAATTTTTGTTACATATAAACTAATGAGGCTTGGTTAAAATCGATGAACTGATTTTGCGGGCTTTGGTCGATCATTGTTTAAATGTCTTGGAATAGAGCCCTAATAGATAGTATATAAATAGAGTTATAGAACACTAGTAAGGGGTTTTAGAGAGATTGTGAGATTTTTAGGGAAATTCGTTATTGTACTGGGTACAGTTTGGAGGATACTTATTTGTATCGGTTGCACTTTTTGAGTATTTTCTTGTCTGTGCACATTGAAATAAACTGTTTGTCTACTACTTAATGCTTACTGCGCTGTGCTAAATTTGGCTGGGAGTATAAAACGTTTTCCCAAAAAATGGCTATAACAGCGATATGTAGTAATTTGATCATCACAATTATGTACACTTGGATCACATTCAGCATTTTAGGATGCGACCAACTCGTGACAGGCAATAATTTTATAGAAAAGAAATGTTTTTTATTTGGTTAAACAACGTTCCTACGTACTGTATTACAAATTCTAAATTTCTAATTTTTATATCTTCATAAAAGTTTCCTGTTCAGATTTGTAATACGTATACTGTACGTTGAAATAAAATCACTCATGTTAGTGTAGCGTTCACGATTATGTTTTATTTCATCATCTTTTGAATACAAATGGAATCTGATAGAGAAGGGCAATCTTTGGAAATATTTTCAAATGTAGACATTGCCAAAAACGAGGAATCATTAGAACAATATTTAAAGTCTAATAAAGACGTGCGTCCTGAAATACAAAACAACATAGGATGGTGCTATCAATATGGAATAGGTATTAACAAATACGAAAAGAAAGCATATGAATAGTATTTAAATGCTGCCAAAGAAGGCGATTTTCGTGGGTGTAATAATCTTGGTTGGTGTTTTGAAAATGGCATAGGAATTGACAAAAATGAAAATAAGACATATGAATGGTATTCAAGATCAGCCAAAGGCGGTAATTCTAGTGGACAAAATAATCTTGGGCGTTGCTACGAAAATGGAATAGGCATTAATAAAGATGAGAATAAAGCATTTATATGGTTTTTAAAATCAGCCAAAAGTGGCAATCCTAGTGGGCAATTTAATCTTGGTTTGTGCTTTAGGAATGGCAAAGGTACACGTCAAAATATGAAGGAGGCTACAAAATTTTTACAAAGAGCAAGAAGTAATCAGAGTCAACATGTAGATTATGAAAATCTAGATATTGATCTTGTTAAATTTTTAGAAAATTCAATGTCTGAAAACAAATATCAATTATTTTGGATTTCACCCAGTGAACTAAGAAACCAACAAAAAATTTTTGGAACGGCCAGACTTTCTGCCAAGTATTCTGCAGAATGGACTTATTTACATAAAACTGGAGCAAGAACAAAAAAGGTTATTTTAAAGCTAATTTATGGATCAAGATATAATCACGATCAACTTATGAAAGAGGTAAATATTTAATAATCTCAGTACTTTATGCACGTAATTTAGATCAATATTAATTTTATTTTTAAAGCTAAAAGCATTCTACATGATTGGGTGCAAGTATCCTGCATATCTTCAGTGCTATGGAATATCGAAAGATGAAAAATCTGGTGATTATTGTTTAGTCATTCAATACTTGCCATTGGGTTCTTTAAGATATAATCATTCAATTGCACGAATGAAATGGGTAGAAAAAGTAAATTTATTATTCTATATAGCTCATGATCTTCAAATGATTCATTCTCTTGATATCATCCATTGTAATTTATATGATAAAACTATATTACAATATGACATACATAATGCATATATAAGCAGCTTTTCATTATCATTGTCAGTTCAAGAGGCATCAACAACAAAACCAAAATCAATTGGAAATACTGTGTATGCAGCATCGGAAGTTCTAAATGGAGAATCATTCACCAAAGCATCAGATATTTACTCCTTTGGATTGCTTATGTGGCAAATTTCTTCAGGACAGTCTGTTATTTCTGAATATGAAGATTTTGATTATTTGCTTGCACTAAGTATAAAGCGACCAACTATCCGTGAAGGCACAATACAATGCTATTCAGACCTTATGAAAAAATGTTGGGATAGTGACCCAACAAACAGACCATTTGTCTCAACCATTTGTAAGATTTTGACTAAATGGAAAAATAATATTGCAACATTTTATGAATCTGATCCAATCGACTATGATGAAACCAATGAAATTGGTTTAATCTGTGACCCAAATGAACCTTTTTGTGATTCTACTGAAGAAATAAACGAAGAACATTTTGGTAATTTAATTGGCTTTAAAGTAGTATTAGTAAATATATACTAATCAATTTTACATATTTAGAAAATGAAATTAGGAAAAAATCAAAGTTTATAGATTGGGGTGAGCTAATTGATGTTTCAAAAATCGATGGAGGTTATTTTGGTATGTGAATAAGCTACTTATGTTATAAATAATAAAATAATTATTTTACCTTTTTTTTTTTTTATTTGTTTAGGATTCATATTTAATGCTTATTGGATAAAGACGCAAAATTTTGTCATTTGTAAGGCATTGACCAACTTGAAAGACATAAACAACAAATACTATACTGCATTTGTTCATGAATTAACAATGCAAACTAAAGCAGATCTTTGTGAAAATGTCGTTCGATTTTTGGGAGTCAGTAAAGGTATTTCTGTTTTGTCAATTTATTTAAATATATTTAAAATGATTAGTTATACAATATTATAAATAGATGATATCAATTCTCGATATTTTCTTATAATGGAATATGCAAATGATGGGAATTTACGGAAGTACCTTGAAACAAATAATCATTCATTGACTTGGAGCAGAAGACTAGAGCTTGCCTTTCAAATTACGAAAAGATTAAATTTTATGCATAGCGAAAATATTATTCACAGAGACTTGGTAAGATAGTCTTAATCTATACTATAATGCACCGGAAAAGTCAGGATCGAATCTTTTAGGCTGCAGCGTTTCTCAAATTCTGGGACGAACTAAAATATTTGCCGAAAATATTTCAGTTTTAAGAATTACCCTAACTCTTCGGAAACCATTTTCAGAACTCTGGTCAGGAGACTGCTGATGGTTAAACTATTCATAAGAAAAAACCAAAAGAGATTTCAGGAAAAAAAAATTTTTAATTTGTCACAGAATTTATGAGAACTATAAAGCTTTAAACTGACTCGTACCAGATTTAAAAACTGAAATTTCAACCTTCGACTTCTTTTCGCTCTGCTCAAAATAAAAAAAATGTAAGTTTAAAAGACAAAACATGGGTTGTATTTCAGCATCACCATTAATTGCCACATTTTTCTTGTTCATGTCCTCAAATCCAACTTTCCAGGTCGAGTTCTGGTTGACCAGTTTGATCGGAGCACTACCTCTAATATTTTAAATAAGTTTTTAATTTCAAAAAAATTTTGATTAGCATGATAAAAACATTGTTATCCATGATGGCAAAGCAAAAATAACTGATTTTGGAAACGCTATAAGTCTAAATACACAAACAAATATACTCGACGGTCTTTTTGGAATGATTTCATTTTTGGCTCCTGAATTACTTAAACAAGCCGAATCGAATAATATACCATACTGCAAGAAAACAGATATCTATAGCCTTGGCATGATATTTTGGGAATTATCTAGTGGTCGACCACCATTTGAAAATCAATTAAATAAATTTGATTTAGCTATAAAGGTTGTTTGAGGTGACAGAGAAAATATAATTGATGGAACTCCTAAGGAATATAAAAATCTTTATACCGAATGCTGGGATACTGATCCAAATAAACGTCCGGACATCGAAGATGTACACGAATTGTTAGAAGGAATATTAAGCTTTAAAGACTTTAATAGTATGTATTTGTAATCTTTTTATTAGTTTTAAATCTATATTGATATCATAGTTATTTATCTAATGATTAAATTTTAAGATGAAAATAGCCTAAAAACTTCACCAAAACAAACATATTCGGCTAAAATCACTGGTAAATTGTCATTTTCGTATTTCTTTTCAATATTTTCCCATTAATATTTATACCTTATAATTATCATCAGATTCAGGAGCTCAATACCTTTCTATCGACGACGAAATGAAGCGAAATATTGAATAACTCTCTTAAAGTATTTCTCCGTGGCTTCACTACGTAGAACTATTTATACGTGAGTGATATCAAATCTTGTACCACATCATAATAACTCAAGAACTTCTGATTTTGAAAAGTTAATGTATTTAATTTTCTAAAACAAACTAAAAATTTTAATATTATTTAATTTGTAACAAAAATATGTTCAAATAATGATAATTATTTAAGTATAGTTATTATTATTACAATATATTATTATTATTATTAAACCCAAAAGTATTATATACAATAAAATATGTATAGTCATATATTGTTTTTTAAAGTGAATTTGATTAGTCAAGAAAATATTATGAATTATATTATTATCTCTCAAACTGTATTTCAAATTTGCCTGGAAAATTAAATTATATTTAGTATTTTTTAAATAAAATAATAATTTATTAATAATATATTTATTATAAAATATATTCTTGAAAACATATTTTATAAACTTTATTATAAAAATTATTAATAAACTTTTGAGTAATAAAATTTTAAAGTTTTTGTTTAAAAATTTTTATTTTTAAAATTTTTTAAGATTTTTTAAAATTTTATATGTTTCTGAAAATAAAAAATTTTTTGCTCTTAATATAAGTTCAAATTTTTATAAGTTACAAAGTTATAATAATAAAAATTGTTATTCTTTATATAAGCTATAATTTTGTATTAAGAACTATAGTTTTAAAATGAATATTTAAAGAGTTTGCCAAAAATAAGTAGATAATTTTTTTGATTAAAAATTTTTTCTAAATTGGTATATTTTTATTTTATAAACAATTTAAATTTTTTTATAAAATAAAATTAAATATTACTATAATATAATCTTTATTTTCAAATATTATCAAAAAAAATTATTTAAATATTTTAAAATTTAAAAAATATATATTATAAATATATTTATAATCATTTTTTAGATAAATTTGTTTGAAAAGTCTATAGATTAAAAAATAATTACAAATTATATGATAGTTATAATATATATTTAATAAGACTTAAAACTACTTTATCTACAAATAAATATCTTTATTCAATATATATATAGAATTTATAATTTATTGCATGGTGCAATATATTGCACCTCTACTATAACTATATAAAAATTATCAATTTTGTATAACAAAAGAGTTTTTACCAAAAAAAATAAATTTTGATTAATGTTAAGATTAGGATTACTATTTGAAATAAGGCAAGAATATAGATTATATCAAAATTTTATGAAGAATTTTTTTTACTAAAACCTCAAAAGTAGTTTCATAATAAAAATTTTGATATAATAGAAGGGTGCAATATATTGTACATGTAATAAATTTTAAAACCCTATATATATATTTTTTTTTAAAAAAAGAAAGCTCTAAGTTCTATTTTTATTAGATTATTATTCTACTTTTATATAGGAATATACTTGAACTATTAATCTTGTCTATAGTAGAGTTAGAAACTTACCAAATTATCTATAGAACCCAAACTTTTTTATCTAATATATTCTTAATATATATTAAAATTTCTATATTACAGTCAAACCTCTCTATAATCACACTCTTGGTTTTAAAAATTTGATGCTTATAGAGAGTTTGTGCTTATATAGAGATTAAATTTTATAAGTGCTATATAAGTTGGTTTTAAAATTTTATGTGATTATAAGCAAATATGACTATAGAAAAGAAAAGGTGACTATAGAGAGGTTTAACTATATTATATTTTATATAGTATATTTATTATATATTATATATATATCATCATGTCATTAGATATTATCAACTCTTTCTGCTGATCATCAAAACACAAAATCCCGAAAACAAAAATTAATACAGGTGGGTGACAAAAAAATATTTCCACATCTACTTATAACTCAAAAACTTACTAATTAACTTATGTTCTTGACTTGAT